CGGTGTTGGCGTAGGATGACGCGGTGGCCTGTCCGTTCCTCAAGTGGCGACTTGCTTTAGCCAAACTGAGTCTCAGCACTGAATATGGATAGAGCAAATCATTGCACTTGTTGCTGGATTGAGGGCGTGTGAGCCATGAATCAAGTAATTCTCGGCTCACCCGATTGTCACCTTTTGCGAGAATTTTGGCCTCATCAAATTTGAATGTGTTGCTGGATCTCGTCGAATGACCCGCATCTTGAGAATTGGCATCAGTTCGCCGCACTGTTGCCGCGCAATAGTTTACTTGTTGTAACGGTGGCCAAAGCTGCGTTATCGCCCTCTACGCCACACCTTGTGTGAGCCCCCAAAGGAGGAACACGACAAGAAGTAGACTAAAGCAGAAGTCTTCGAGAAACATATTACAGCATAATATAAAGCAAGCGAACGCGTATTTCCAAGGTTGGATCAATTAGATGATGGTCACAAGAAAGGCATGACTTAATTGGCGGGGTGTGTCATAATAGTTGGCGTGTTAGTCTACCGCTTGGCAGGAGCTGGGCGCAGGTGCACCACATAAGGCACTTAGTGTGTGGGCAGACCGGTTGTCTGGCTTGTGTTAGTGTCCTGCGCCGGCCGCGCTATGCGCGTTATCACATGCACTCTGCGTGGGTGGACCGGCGGTCTCGCGTGGGAACGCCTCGTTAGGGAGGCGTGCGCTTTGGGTTACGCTGGACCCTAACATTACTGACCATTTATACAGAGTTTGCGGAGAGAAAATGACCGCGAAAGTCCTCTAAACATCTGTTTCCTACATATTGACGTGTTTTTTTTCAACGCTATCTAGATAACAATCATTCGAAGAAACGACTATCGTTCCCTCTCCAATATGCCCTTGGCACGGTCCGTTGCAGTTGGGGGTACTTGGATCGCAGACGAATACCATCCGACACTCAACACGTCGACTTATTTGCTGGCTTTTGTCGTCTCTCAGTTCAGTAGTCTTTCAGGTCGGGATTCTAAAGATCGCAATGTAAGTTCATAACATTGGCGTATCTTTCCAAAGCTTAGTTAATAGAGTTCTTTTGGACGGTCCTCGTCTTTTGTAACCATGAATCTTAAAGTCCTACATTTTCTTTCCTGTAGTTCACAATCTGGGCCAGACCAGATCTGATTGGAGCCGCCGACTATGCATTGAAGACGGGCAAAACCATCATCAACTTCTTTGAAGAATACTTCGAACTTGATTACCCACTAAACAAGACCGGTGAGTTAAGGCAAATATCTCTTCTGAAAATATTAATAATTTATCTTTATAGTAAATTCAAGAGGTGTTAAAATCAATCTTCATTTGTGAGAATTTATCATACTCTACGTGAATGCACCAGGTAAACTTAAAATTTTAGAATAAAATTAATCGCCTCATAACTTATAATTAATACACTAATGGGTAATTTTATAGAATATTTTGTCAATAGATGCCATTTCCGAACTTTGTATGCATTTGACAGTTTCGCAGGACGAAAATGTCAAGTGGAAATTTGTGGTATATTACGCAGAACAGCTGCAAAAAATAGCGTTCATATATACACTGAACTTGAACGGCCGGTCTTCTGCCGGACAGTTTATATTAGATGTTAATAGTTTTACAAAAACAAACAAGAGATATATCATTTGGAAATTTTGATAAAACCATCGAACTATATTCAAAATGGAAATAAACCTCCTTTGTGTATTTCAACAGAAATATTCCTTACACATGTCTCCATGAAATTAGCATTTGCTGGCTTGATGCCAGAGGTTTTTAAGGAGGAAGGATCCAGTCCACTTATAATTTATTATAACCTAATCCATATAATTGCAAGGTTTCTTTTAAAGTCTCTCTATACTTAGATGTACTTGTCCTAAGTGATCGGCAGAGTTTTGCTCACAAATGGCTTTTAAGTTCACGATCTTTCAAAAGAATACTTTGTTCAAGACTGTGGATAATGTTTAGAGGTAGAGAGAAGCCATCTTCCAGTAGGTCATCTGGGTTGTTGTGGAGTATTTTTGAGTAGATGATATGAACTTCTCGAATGGTAGTGTGACGTCGTTTTTCCAGTTATTGTGGGGTTACCTGTACACCTTAAATGTTATCCTATGTGGAAAGTATTTCTTTGCTTCGAGGGTTGGACTAATTAGCGTGGAGGCACAAGTCAGTTTTATTTCACAAAGGAACGTTTAAAAAACCTCTGGCAATTGAATCGTTAAAGAGAATTTCCACAGTTCAAAAGAAACTTCTGGTTGGCAACTATTCATTTAAAGAATGACTTAAATATTATTAAGTCAAAAATACTCAAAATTAGCACTCCACACCACTAATTAATTCTTATAATTTGGGGGAATTTAATACTTCGTCTGGTCTATGTTGTATATAACTATGCTGTATTTGCAAAGTAGGAGGGATATCCCATTGAATATCACGGGAGGAGTATAGGCTAAATAGCCATCAACGGATCTACTGGAGCAGAAATTTTTCGAGTTGCATCTTTAAGACATCTAGTTCAGCTTTTTGTGCTTTAAAAAGTATGCATTTTATATTTCCCGGAATAAAGCTTGATGTGTATGTTTAATAGACCCAGGTTGGCACAAGTTTTATAAATTTGATTTTTCATCATGTAAAGTTTCAGTTTTCTGTCAAAGGTAATTTGAACAAAAACACATTTTCCTAGTTTCTGGTCCTGCAGACCTGCTTTATGTTAGCAGTTTACTTTTCCCTTGGGAAATATAAAACAAGCATCGACTGCAAAATGTACCATTAAAAGTTACTTTCGGCAGGGTTTATGAGTTGTTTATTGCCACTACGCAAAAATGAATATAGAGCAAGTTGGTTTGTCTAGAATATCGAAACAAAATACGAACTGTCATTATTCAAAGTGATTAATGAGTCCACTCTTGACGCAATTCGAAATAAATAATTCGACGGTACCGTAAAGTACTTGTGATCATCGCAGAATTAAGTGGTTCCCAGGGTCAGGTTGGGTTTAGCGCATAGCAAATCGACTGACCATTCCATCTGTATCCGTCTATACACAGGCTGTCTTCACACAATGCAAATCCTAAAATTCTAGTATGGGAAGGTTGGTTTTGTGAGAAATGAACGTCAACTAGCTGGGGGTCTTCGCGATGCGAAGTCAAACGCTTTGTTTTCTGACTTCGAAAGTCATCCTGGCAAGTGCTTAGCCGTCCTGACTACCATCTGCCTTTGTATGTTCCCCAATGTGCGTGTACATTAAGAGAGAGAGATGTGCTTTATTTTTAAAATATCATTCCAAGATTTTCAGCAAAAACGTCCTCCTTCCACCATGAATAAAAAAGGTACAGAAACTGCACAACAGCGCGGAATCAGGAGTAAGGCGTAGTAGCCAATTGACTACACCGTGGAGAAATGGATTTGAATGTGCAGCAAAACGAGTGCCAAATGATTCTTTCTTCAAACTGGCGCTAGTGTCGTGCGCTGATGGCCTCGTTGTCGTAGTTCAAATAAACAGTGAGGGATAAGAATCGGTTCCTAATGGGTTAACTGGCCATTCTTTAACAGCTTTCGATGTGGCAGGAAGGAGAACACGTATCTGACTTATTGTAAAATAGTGTTGAAGAAATGCCGCTAGTAAAATAGTCTACCAAGCCGATATTCACGTAGGATGTATTGCTATCATTTTCCTATCTTAAACCAAGTAAATTGCGCATGTGACTTGCATAAGGTACATCGGGTTATGTCTGTCAACGTATACCTTGTTTGGTTCCCGCCAGAAACTGGATCGTACTAATGCTTTTTTATTTCGTTTTTCTTATCTCCCTCTTACAGATATGCTAGCTGTTCCGCATTTTGCTGCGGGTGCTATGGAGAACTGGGGTTTGCTAATTTATCGGGAGGCAACTTTGATTTGGGATCCGGTTGTTGGCACCGAAGGCGCTCGCCAGAAAGTCGCTACTGTAATTTCCCACGAAATCGCCCATCAGGTATTCAAACTAGTGCGCTGTTTTGTGTCTGAAATATTAAAAATGAAAGGTATTTTGGGAACCTTCAATTAAGGGCATTAACAAAGTGACAGGGTTTACAGAGATATTTCCAATTGCCACTGAATGGATCCTACAATTTAAGGATGTTTCATTTTATACGAAAGTCAATGGCGGAAGTTTTACTGCAATCATTGCACGAGACTTGCATTCTAGCCGAACTTTCGCAGAAGGACATCATAAAATAATCATGCAGGTAGTACAAAACCCTTCGTACCAAATACTATCAGATGACTTCATGAATGGATGCCAACAAGCTACCATAACTTTGTAAACGCAGTTTTGGCATTTTTAAAACGCATGACGGAAGGAGAGAGTAAGTAGCAGCTGTTTTTCCTTGATAAAATCATCAAGCGAAATCCTAAGGGTAAGATTGTGACTAAAGTTTACAGGAGGACAACCGAAAACATACGTCATCTTAGCTTTCACAGCAACCATCCGTCTGCTTACGAACGAAGCTGTGGGTGGACGTTTTGATCAGTCAATCTGGGGGACTTGAGTCGTTGATAATTGATTAAATTGTACCCCCTATACTGCAGCCCGTTTATATCGTGTTGCCATTATCTCTGACGGTGTATTCCCGCACGAATTTGGAAGCTCGGCATAATGAAGAAATTATTCCGATGCTCGATTAGTATGCTTTACTTATCAGATAATTTCATAATTTCTCGCAAGTCAAATCCAGTGCCACCGGTGGTCATCATGAATGTTTGGTAAAAGTACCTAGTTTTGCTAGTACCAGGAGTATATTCTGAGCAGAAGACAATTGAAAACTTTTACTTTTTAACTGTATCAACAGTAATTAAACAATATGAGTCGATTACGTAGCATTGAAAAAATAATAATATGCTGAAAGGCAGGGTAAATGGATTTTTAAAATGACAGCGCTAGTAGCCATCGTGCACAAGTGAGAAAGGCACCTCGAATTTACATTTCTTAGAATTCCTAACCTACCCACATTATTTGTCAGATATTCCTTCAGCAGATTTCCATTTGTGTCGGTTGATGCAACATGGTGTTCTTCAGATGCACATTAGCTCATGTTATGTAGTGAGGAATTTATTCAATCAAGAGATGGCTTCAAGGAATCAACTATGCTTATACTGCGAGATTCATTTGTTACTCCGGTGCTGGCAAAAGCTAATGACAAAAAGTCCCTTAAAGGCCATTTGTATGCGTTCTTTTTAGTCGACGTTGCTTGCTTTCACAAAACAAAAAAATTAATTTCCATTTCCAAAAATTAAAGGAACAATTAATCAACTGTGCTGGCAACAGAGTATTATCTAAGACTACACGACTCAAACTTGAAACATATGGTCCTACTTTACATGTAATTTACACAAAGTAAAATGCTATTGAGTAAAAATATTTATCTAAGCTATTTTGCTTGATTTTTAGTGGTTCGGTAATCTAGTGACCTTAAATTGGTGGGATGACTTATGGCTAAATGAAGGCTTCGCGACGTTCGTGGAATATATCGGTGTGGCCCATGCACAACCTGAATGGCATATGGTATGTTATTATTTATATAACTTATTTTTCCAGCAATCTATGCGCATTTTCCCATGTTATATTTGAAAAGGGGTAGACGCCAAAAACACTAAGCTTGGGTTGAACGAACGTTTTCGATTAATTCATCATCAGTCGTGTATAATAATATAAAGGGGAAAGTGTTAGCAAAAGTTTAAGCAACCAATCAACAGTAATTCTGCCTGCCTAAACAAAGGCGAGGTCAAGTCAATATCTGGTGCGATTTTGGCTCACTTGGTTGACAGCGGTCACCGGGTAGACGTAAACCAAGCGTTTCGAGTCTTGTATAAAGTGCCAGCGAAACCCTCTAAGTTCTTGCGTCAACGGATACTTGCGACGGCAGAAGCCGTCACCATACGACTCACAAACCCGCTCTTATGTGCGTAGAAGGCATTCCTAGTGGCCCTACGGCTCCCGTGGCCGAGAACAAACTCAACATCCGTCCGCACACCTTCTATCATGCCGCGAGACGATGAGGAGACAGTGACAACTGATGTCAAGATACCGCGAAGCGACGAGATGACCAGTTGATATGACCTAATTGTAGGACACTTCCCTCCTCCCCCTGCCCTCCTTTGATCTCTTAACAATTCCCCCTTCCCCCTCCTTAATTACCGTTGATTGGTCGCTTAAACTCTTGCTAACTCTACCCCATTTATGTTATTGTACACGACTGATGATGAATTAATCGAAAACGTTCGTTCGCCTATCTTGACTTCTTGAATGCTTAAATGGGTATCATCGCTGAAAACTAAGTTTGAATAAAACCAATCCTTTTGCACAGTCTTCCCTTTTCAACTGTAACATGACTTACGGACGTGTCAGCAACATCTAAATATATCATAAAGCACCTTAAAGTATATCAGTGGTTTGCAAAAGATTTTGTTTGAATTATATAACCAAAAACACAAGGGAGACTGGAATGACCATTCTGGCTTATAAGCCATCAGCAGCCAACCAAAACCAATGCCAGAACTTCCTGCAACCGCTGCGGCTAGAACCCCTGCCCTCTTGGTTGGACTCCAGTGCCCTAATCCTTGAGCCAGTCGCTTTTCTCTCGTCAGCTGCGATCATGTACATTAGCAATGATAGAGGGGCAGTTACGGAGCATTTTACTCCTGCTTGTCCTTGGGGTTCAATCTAGAGCCCAAACAGTGGCTGCACTGCAGCTAGTCATAAGGGTAGAATAAAATTATTGACAGAGGAAAGGGAGATCAGAACGAATATTTCTGGCTTATCGGCCATCATCAGGCAGCCATAGTCAATCGCAGGATTTGCAACACGTCATACTCAAACCAGTGACTTGTCGGTTTTAGGTAAAAACGCTCTTAGCATCGAGCCAGAGGTAACTCGTCATCTGGGTTGCGATCAGGTACACCATCAAGCTACTAAGACATTTGAATAACTGAAATTTTCAGTAGTTTAACCAGCACTTCTCAAAAGTGTTTGTGTAAAAAATTGCTGAGGGAACATATAAAGTTACTCGTGATCGGGGTTGTCCGAGAAGGAAAAATGAGAAAGTTATTTCTTTCTTGCGTTTTCCACCATCAAGTAGCTATATCCAAAGACCCCACCTTACATCCAGAATTCAATTCTGTCTCTGTTGATATAAATCATTGTGGTTGGAGTAACTACTGATGCTGCCAATAGACGCAGAATTCGGAAGCATAAAAATAATACTTATTCTTTGACGTTACCGTTAATCAGTGTGCCCCAGTTCTGTATTACTAGATACTGGTGCAATTGTCTCAAAAGTAAGTCATGTTCTAGGAATCTAGGTTGAAATCAGAGGCCCCTGTCGAAAATGATTATGTGGCAGCAATAAGTGATGTGTAAGAAGACTACTAAACCCTCAATGGCTATTTAGCCTAAAAATTCTAGACTCTTCTAGCTCTCCAATATGTGACAGTTTCTAAACACGGTAAACACGGAACTGCAAGTGAAAGTGAAACCGGACATATGCATTTGGCGGTTTGAAGATAAAAACAAATTATCAACAAAGACCTGGGAGACTGAAAAGACCGGTTCTGGCTTATTAATTGTCATCAGCCAGTCATACCCAACGGCAGGTATTGTGATACCTGACGCTTGAACTGGCGACCTGCTGATTAGAAGTTTAATGCTTTAAGCTTTGAGACAGGGACTCGTTCTCACGTTAGCTTTGCTCTAGTGAATTAACAGTGATATTAAGGCCTTCTCCAATCGCATTGCTAGTAAACTCGTGCCGTTCGAAAAATTCTCGAATGACTGGAAAGGAGTATTATTTGCCTTTTTCCACTGGAAACAACCATCGCTTTTGGCTTACTTGATATAATCACTTAGCCTTTCTGGTTTTCCTACGATGGGACCTACAGCGGTGAGAAATTTCTACGAGGTATTTCAGAATTGTCACTAATTTTTAGGTAAAAAGACATCAGTAGAAGGATAATTATAAGCTTATAGCTTTGGGGAGATTTCGATGAACACAAGAACTCGATTGAGGAGCAACATTTCTGTAGTTTGGCGGAATTCTGTTCAGCCGAATATCACTTTGACCCAGTTTCATTTGCAATCATATGAACCTAAATGATGACGCAATCTAAACTATTCGGTCAGTAGTTTCAGGTATTCATTATATAAGTCACCCCCAATTAAAAGACTGTTGTCTGTATTTAATCATGAACTTTTTTACTACGTTTGTTCAATTTGGATATATAAAAATAACTTTTCGATCAGAACAATGTACCCTTCCACTTATCCTAAGTGTAGCATTGCCTATTTTAGGACGAGCAATTTGCAGTGCTCCAACTTCAAAAAGTTTTACTCAGTGACTCGCTGGCCACAACTCACCCGGTATTCATGCCCGTCTACCATCCGGATGAGATTAATGAAATATTTGACACTATTTCCTACAACAAGGTAAACAAATGTGTTCTCACTGATACTATTCTTTATTTTGCACTTATTTAAAATTTATTTCCGAAACGCCTACGTCTTCTTATCATTTGTTTTTATTAATTTTGTTTTGCACTTTTTTCTATAGAAGACGGACACATTAACCATAGGAAACTGTGAGAAGCCTTTACGTCAAGTAAACTGTCCATCTCGGGACTCCAGTTCATTGAGCACGTCGTTTTCTTACCAACCTAAAAGACTTTGCGCAGTCACTATCAGCGGAGGCGAAAAGGACAAGGAGGGGTTGAAGGCTTCTAGTCCTCTCGGCTTCCCGAGAAAATAGAATCGGGTAAAAAATGCATTCACCCCGCTCAGCCTCTAGTGCTGATGTGAGTAGACTTTCCGTCAGTACGCAACCCACCTTCGAGGATTGATAACCTTGTCTGTCTGCAACAAGCAACGTAGGCTTCAATTGCGACATTTTCCAATAAGGGGGCAGCAAAGTATGCATAATTGAAGGATTTTTGTCTTTCATCTTCAACGACAGCGGGACAGAATGCACTGCAACTTTTCCCTACCAGGTTGAGGTGGGTTAACTGAATGCCGCGAAAGTTGAGGCCAGCTACTATCGCAATCAGCGGATGCATTCATTTCGATTTCGGCGGCAGCAGACTAAATCATGATTGCTTCAGCGTGACGTACAAGTTTATTTTAAAGTAACTGGCTGCGGATCTTTGTACCCACCGTGCTGAACTTATTCGATAAGTGCTAACTACTGTACTTTCTATGATCATGGCTCTTTCGACGCAGAAGAAGACAAAGAAACACTTTGTAACATTTCATAGATGTTTTGATATATTCGAACAATTCATTCGACTCGGGCGTGGCAAATTCGACGGCCTCGGCGGAACTCGAACTTACGACAGCAAAGGCAGGGGTGGAGAAAACTTACCGCTGAAGATAAAAGGTCCCTGGTGATGCCGAATATTTGGCTGTGCTCAAGCCTTTGCCTTGTTAGCGTGCGTTTGGATCCCACTGAGGCCGTCGAAGTTTGCACAGATCGCCAAATGAACCAGTGGACCTTGTTTTACTGCAATTTTCTTACCTGCGTCCGGTCTTCTGGACTTTGTCTTGATATCGAAGCCAGGTGCGAAGTGGAACAGAGATTGATGTAAATGCAGCGCCACTCTACTCTCACTGTAATCCAGCGCAATTAATTGCCCCTGCAAACTCTGGAGCAAACGGTGGACTTCGTCAAAACCGACGGTCGAACTGGCTCACAGAACACTATCATGCTCAAAATTTACAGTGCCACCTAGAACAACCACTGCACGTGTGCAATTTATGATTATGTTTTCCGAATTTTTATAAGACTTTATGGTTTGGATAAAGGAGGAGAAGTTACACATTAGTCCATATCACTGTTTACTTGGAAGGCTCCTTTTGCAACAAAAAGCGAAAGTCGGTTCATTCCAGAACTCTTAATTTATTGGTGTTTTACAAAAGGAATATAGTTATGGGAAAAATATATGTAAGCCCGTTGAACAGCACATTTAATGAAATGGTGA